GCCATGTCTTCGCAACATGTGGATGAGGCGCCGGACCCGTCAGAACCAATCATGGAGGATATCGTCGAACTGTGCGACTACTGCGTCAAGCTCACTAAAAGGATCTTAGAAGACCCTCCAGATGATCATATAACGGGAAGTATAGGGTGGGGTTTCGATCCGAAGATTACTCCAGGGATGTGCCGCTTCTGCGAGGTTATTCTGAACGACCCGTGGATCAGGAACATAGGGGTAACGACGGAGTTCATCAGTGACTCCGACATGGGACGACGGAGGACCTCCAAGGGATCACAATATGGCCGAATATGCTCAACACGTATCGAGAGATGTACGTTTGCAATGTGGGCAAACCCCGGTAAGAAGCTCCAGTTGCAGTACTTCTGCACGATACTAACAAAAGATCCAGGCAGCGCTGCATGTGCAAGCTTGAATGATCGCGCGCCAATACTTGGTCCACACATGAATCAAGTAGGTGATCTTATTCAGCACTGGCGAAAAGGTTGCAGTAATCACGAACGCTGCACACCTGAGTATGATGCGGTGATGCCAACCCGCGTTCTGGCGCTCTGTGGAAACCGAGCACAATCTTCAGTCGAGCTTGTTGAAAGCAAAGGCCAAAGAGGACGATACATCGCTTTGAGTCATTGTTGGGGTTCAACTAAGAAGCGCCCACCTCGAACAACGTCCGACAACCTTGAAGCGCATCAAGCTGGCATCCCGTTCGAAGATCTACCGAAGACATTCCAGGATGTCGTAGAGCTTGCACAAGTTATTGGCATCCGATCCGTGTGGATCGACTCTCTTTGTATCATACAAGATGATCCACAGGATTGGATAGCTGAAGCAGAGAGGATGCGAGATGTATATCGCAATGCGACCTTGGTTGTAGCTGCCTCGGGCGCGAGAGATTCTAGTGAAGGTCTCTTTATCACCGATCGTCCAAGAGCAAAAGTCTTTCGGTTACCTTACCGCAAGAACGGCAAGATCAGAGGACAATTCAACATGATGCAAATGTCTGGACAATGGGACCCGAAATTCGGTCAACTTGAGAGTCGGGCATGGACGCTCCAAGAGCGCTACCTTGCGCGAAGGTTCCTCGCTTTCATGCCTCCAGGTATTACGTGGATCTGTCAAACAACATCAAGAGATGAAGTAGGGCGCCATTACAGTATTGGGGCCGAGCATGAATGGTTCTTACTTTTGCGAGAGTACACGAAGAGGTCTCTCACAGTGCCTTCAGATCGTACCAAGGCTCTCAGAGGAGTTGCTGCACACATACAGCGTTCACGAAAACAGCGATACATTGCAGAATACGGCGTGTGGGAAAAGAAACTCATACTTCAACTGCTCTGGTTGAGCGAAGACCCGTGCACTGATGACTTGCTTACTGTCCCTTCATGGAGCTGGGCCGCCACTAACGGTATCAAGAAATGGCCTGAGGAGACCCGGTACAGAACACATCAAGACGTTGAGCAATCAGAAGAAATGCCACGACGCCTACTCATCGGCCCCACAGGCCACCTCCAACTTTTCGGACACTTGAGCACTAAACAACTGGCCTCGAGCTACGTGCACGACGCATCCACCTTACGCGGCCTTCCGCTCTACGAGCTCGAAAGGTTGCATGACCCTTATTGCATGATTTCTCCCAAGCCATCTCTCAGCTTAAACCAAAGCTTTCATGTCATCACGCAGAACATGCACGACACTCGTCACCAGGCAGTATTGGGAATCGCACGGTTTGATTTCTCTCCAACGACATCATATACTCATGCGAGTCTTCTTGCAAAGTCAAAGCGTAGCATTGCGGAGGACTTTGGTTACCCCGTTGCGACAGGTACTGCGTCTGTGGAAGAGCACACTATCGTAAGAAGCAACCGAGTTGTTTTGCGCGTTGAAGCTTATACTTGTTAGGGACATGTGGTCTACCATATTGAGCCCAACCCAGACTTTGTGTACTGGGCGCTTCTTCTTGAGCAGGTCAGCGATAGCGTATTCAGACGCGTAGGTATGGCAACTCTCCTGCCCGTCGCGTACGAAGCTTTGCAAGTCCAGGTTCGTGAGTTTGAGATTATCTAGGCCCTGCGGCCTACAACAGCGTAACACAGGAAGATCGAGTATGTTTGAGAGCAATGTAAACTTCCAGGTCATCGAATTCCTATCTCAATATCCATGCGCTCGGCGCCTCTCATAGCTGGGATGCAGCTCACACCCCCTCACATCTTCATCCCCCCAACCCTCCCCTTCTCCGGCTCCCCCTCCTCATTCTCATACAGCGGATTAACCTGCACCTCCCTCAACCACAGCCTAAACGACTTATCCAACGTCTTCGCATTCATAACCGCGCAATCCATGACCTCCTGCGCACTCAAATACGACACCCCCTCCGCATCACCGCCCGCAATCGCAATCGCCCTTTGCAGCAATATACAATTCTTCTGCGTGTATATCGCGCGGTACACCGCTTCCTCGATGCTAGCACCGAATGTCGTGAAGCCGTGCTTGTGTTGTAGCACCACGGGGTTTTCGGGGGAGAAGCGTGCGGCTAGGGCGGCGCCGAGGGATGCGGTTTTGATGAGGAGGTCGTGTTCGGAAGGCGCTGACGTTCCACGGAGACTGTCCATTGTGAATACCTTAGCGCCGCCGAGGCCCATGAAGCCCGCCATGTGGAAGACCGGTCGTACGGGATGCGGTTCCATGGTTCCATGTCCGACCGTGAAAGGGATAACGTCCTCGGAATGCGAGTGTACAACACAGTTCACCTTGGGAAACTTCCTTAGTATCTCCCCGTGGATATACCGCTCGCTGTATCCCTGCGGCGCGTCGGCGTCGACGGGCGAGGAGTCCTTCACCCAGTACGATATAAAGTCGCTCATGTTCTTGACGAGCGCCGGCGCGCCGGGGTCGTAGCCAGCGATGATGTATTGCTCTTTGTTGAGCGGGTGTCTTACGGAGATATGGCCGAATGCATCGACGAGGCCGTGGTGGTGCAGGATGTGGTTTGCGCGGATGAGCAGGCGCAGTTGCTGCTGGAGCTGCGGTGGGATGGACATCTTGTGTGCTCGCGACTTGCGCTCTTTGGGTTGTGGTTGGGTTGGTGTTGGCGGGCCTGTTTTGAGCGACTCTGCGTTGAGGGACTCGGCTTTTAGCGATTCGGTGCGCGCTTCTTCGATGATGGATAGTTCGCGTTGTTTTGAGGGTCGGAGGTATTCTTCGGGTTGGGCTGCGTGCAGCGGATGCGATGCTAAGGCGCGTGGATGAGAGGCGTCGGCGGCGTCCCTTTGGGTCTGTTGTGCGGCGCAGTAGTTGCAGAGTACCATTTGGGTGTTCAGCACTTGGAGGAGTGCATTCTGCTGAGCATAGAGGCCGCTTGCCCTCGTCTTATGGGTCTCGCGAGCGATGTTTCAAGGTGGTGATGGAAATAGTAGCGTTTGAAACCGCGGATGCCTTGGAGTCGCTAGCACTCTCTCTAGATCTTCACCTGCGTCGCGAATTCGGTGGTGTCGCCTGGGTGCGATGTGAGAGGATGCGAGAGGCGGATGACGCGTTGCGCCTGGCGTGCGCGATGTTGCTGCTGCATCGTGACATGGTGGTGGTGTTGCGGGGATGCAGCCGGGTCATTGGGCGCTCGTGAGGGGATCCGATCTTCTAGCGCCGTTAGCCTTCCCGCCCGCGACAGCCCTATCCCTCACTCGCCCCACATCGCGCGGCCCCCATTAACCTTCAAGTCCGCATCTTGAAACGGAACACCGCAAACTCTTAGACTCCCGACGTCGACCCCGTCTCACCAGACCTTCTCTGAGCAACGTTCTCTTGATCGCCACGTAACCTCGTTCAAGATGGTCGCCCAATACGTACTGGCCGGTCTAGCAGCCGCGGGACTAGCCTTCTGGTATGACTTCAAGAGCTGGCAAAGCTTTGGTTCGGGACCCTCTCAGCCTGTGTGAACGCGATTGCTGAGTCGCCGCAGGAACTGGTGGCACGCCTCCAACACTAGAAGGCTACATCAAGATCCGTCGATGGGGACTCTACCTGCTCTACACGCGCCAGAACCTGCTCGATGCATCTCCTATCCCCGATACGGGCGCGTCTTACATCAATCCTCAGAAGGTGCCGGACCGCGTTGGCAGTAGACCAGGACTTACACGCTGGACACTACCACAACGTCAGTTCCCTGAGGAGATAACACCTGGCGCTTCTACGACTCTTCACGATCTCATGCGCGAGTTTGCGGATACAAAGGCGTACTCGGAGTACATTGAGACACGTCCGAGCAAGACCGAAGGCGGTACTGGATCTGCCATCTACGTCAAGCCAGACGTCAAGACCATCAACCCCGTCGCGCACAAGATCTTCTACGAGGTCGCGCACGTGCACCCAGCAGAGAACTCGCTTCATGTGTATGTAAGCCCACAAGACGCGAGACTGGTGATGAAGAGGGGCTGGGGACAGCGCTTCCCAGTGACCTGGTTGGCACCGCCGAGCTGGATCATGGTGTATGCGCCGAGGAACGAGGAGGAAGTGGAGACTGTCAGGGAGATTGTCAGGGCTGCAGTGTGCCATGCTGTTGGGATGAATGTTGATGCTGGAGTTTGACCGAGCGGAGGCGCGACATGCGGAGGTACTGTACATGGTCAGTATAGTCGAGCGCAATTGTCCAACCCATTTCATGACTATACTTCTCGGAGACGTCGAAGGCCCATGCGTAGACTGTGTTTTGTTCCTTGTCTGGCACGGCACTGGAGAGGAGAACCGACGCCGGACGCTAGTAACAACGGCGCCCGCCGCATCCGCCGCATCTGCATCGCATCCCCCACTCTCTTGCGCTAGCTTACACATGTCGCCCGGCTTGAACGACCCTGCAGCATGGCATCGATCCGGAATGCTATGTTAAGACCGCTGATGCCGCGACACACTTTCTCTCGAACCTGACATCTGTCTGTCTTGCATTCACCGTCGCAACCTTACACTTCTCATTACCCCCACCGCATCCACCCGAAATGGGTAGCATCGACACCAGCCTGAAAGTCATCGTCATCGGCGCCGGTATGTAGTCAATTCCTCAGCCCAACAAAGCCTTACTAACCCACCAAGGCCCCGCCGGCTGCGCGCTCGCTCACGGCCTCAAGAAAGCAGGCATCTCCTTCGCCATCTACGACAAAGGCGCCGACGTCTACCGCCACCGTCACTGGGCCTTCACATTAGGCTGGGCGCGACCATACCTCTTCGACCTCATCCCAGAAGAGCTCAGCGCGCAGATCAACTCATGTCAAGTCGATCCCTACGTCGACTGCGCCGCGGTCGGCGAAGACCGAATCGTGATTTACAACGGCCAGACACGGGAGGAGGCTTTCGCATTCCCGATTCCAAAGGCGCGCGAGATTAATATTAGGAGATTGCGCATGCTGTTAGCCGAGCAATTGGATGTGCAATACAGTAAAAGCTTCTCGCACTACGAGACAACCCAGGACGGCGGCGTAACCGTCCACTTCGAAGACGGCACAACCGACACCGGCACCATCCTCATCGGCCTCGACGGCGCCATGTCAAAAGTGCGCCGCAGCCTCTTACCCAAGGAAGGCAACATGGACACCCTCCCCTTCGCCCTAATGAACTTCAACGCGTCCTACACCGCCTCTCAAGCCCGTTTCATCAAAGAGCGTCTACACCCACTCGTGGACATCGCAATCCACCCCGCCGGCCACTACATCCGCGCGAACGTGCTAGATATGCCCGATGAGAAAGACGCGAGTACCTGGACGTTTCAGATCCTGTCGACTTGGCCGCTGAAATACGTTGAGGATCACGACAACGAAGACGGGCGGTTGGAAAGGCTTAAAGCGCATGTGAAGCGCGATGGATGGGCGGAGCCGTATAAGAGTGCTATTGAGTGGATACCAGAAAACACACCGGTTCTGCGCGATCAGCTCAAGATATGGAAAACCGTTCCGTGGGATAATCACGACGGGAGGGTTACGCTGTGCGGCGATGCGGCGCATGCCATGACCTTCCACCGCGGGCAAGGCGCTAATAACGCGTTTTACTCTGCGCATTGTCTTGTTGAAGCGTTGAAGAGCGTGCAAAGTGGGAGTGCGAGTCTGAAAGATGCGGTTACAAGTTACGATGAGAGTATCTGGAAAAGAGGCGCGAATGAAGTGCAGATTAGTAAGGCGCAGACGTTCTTTACGCATGATGGGTTGGAGGAGTTTGTTAATAGTCCGGTTATGCGGTTGGGGACGAAGCCGAGTCATGCTGCGAGGACGGAGGGGTATCAGTAGTGCTGGGTGCTGGAATGGAATGTTGTCTGTACATGATTGTCATTTCAGCTACTTAGACACTGAAAGTCGACAGCATCTGTGTCCCATACATGCTATTATGTGTTAACCAACAAACTATCCCTAAGATAATGTATACTTCAATACGATCGCAGCTTACTTAGCGTGCAACCCTCGGGATTACACGTACAAAGGCCCTCTCGTCGCCTTACCTTTCTTCTTCGGCACATACGCCGGTCCTGTGAATTTCCATTGAGAAGGGTCGCTCGTAGTATCGATCGGGAAATATTTATCCTTCGAATACGACGCATACCAAGGGGCAACGCTCTCTCCCTGCGTAGGCGCTTCTGCGGGTTCTGAGATGTTCGAGAGCATAGAGGTTCGGTGGCCAGATTCAGTGCCTTGCTCGGACTCGTGATCCTCGCGTTCTAAATACTTGCGGAATTGTAGGAAGGGATCGCTAGCGTCTGAGGAACGTTAGTGCTGTTTCTCTTTCGGCGCATAAGCTGGCATCAAGCTTCTCCTACCTTCTGGCAGTAGTGACATGTCCCGCACATTCTGAACAGCTCCGAGTCTTTCTTCTAGGATCTTCAACTCTTCAATACCGTCTCTTATCTGTGTAAGGACTTCAGGAAGTTGTGCGACGATGTGGTCCTCGAGGATTTTGCCCAGTCTCGGCTTGAGAGTGTCGACGCCGGCTAGTTCAGATGGAAGCGATCTCCAAATGCCAGTCTCGAAGAAAAGCTTTTCAACTTGGTCGCGCTCTTCGGTATTCGAGTCCATGGAGGTATAGTCTCTGTTGCGAAGCACATGCCACCCCAGGCGAAACCTAACGCCTCTGTTTTGCGCCAGCTCGAAGTAAGACCGCTCGCTATCCGACCCTTCATCCAACGTGTCCGGCTTCGTGATCAGCCCAAGAGTACGCTTCCCCCGAGGATCGATGTCAAGCACGTCCTTGGTGATCGATTGAAGATTCAAGTCGCTCTTCGCGGAAACGACAGCGAGTATGATGCTGTGTGGGTTCTTCATGTAAGAGAGCACGAGCGACCGGACCGTCTCGACATCGTCGTCTGACTGGGTTCGACTGCCCGCCTGGGACAAGCCAGGCAGATCGACCAGGGTAAGATGCGGCTGTTCAGGCCCCGATAGCTCTAGACGAAGAATGTCAGAGCTGAAAACCTTGCTGCTGCCCTCTCCGATGCCCATCGCATCTTTGGCTTCTTCAATCACCGGCCCCAGATCAAAGCCCTCCAACGAGCGAGAGTAGTGGAAGTTGCGCAGCTTCTCTAGGTCGCTGTCTGAACGGTCTCTCTCCCGCGAACCAGGAACGATACTCATCTTGATTGGTGCCTCTGGGCCTCGTCGAAGGATCAGCTCGGTCGCGAACCTGGTGCATAGGTTGTCTTTGCTAGGGAACTTGACGCCGGATACCGCTTCAAGCACGGAGCTCTTGCCGGAAGACTGCTCGCCGCATACGATTATTTCGGGGAGATTGATGCATCGATTGATGCCGCGGGAGCGGAGGTTATCGACAATGTCCAGCAAGTCCTTCGTTTCGTGAGACTGCAGAGACATGCCGTAATCTGGTTGGTTTTGTTCTGAGTCAAATGTAGGGCAACGCAGGAGCTACGTTGCCTTCGTATCTTGTGAAGTTGAGCTTCTTAAACCAACGTAGGCGGTACGCCTGTTTGGTGTTTTATTTGTACAGGTGCAGAATACACAAAATAAGCCTACGGTTGCAGTAAGGTTTGGGAGTGCAAAGATGCGTGGACGGGTGGCGAATGAACGTATGCACGAGGCGAAGTTTCCACGGCTTGTCAAGTAGAGACTGTCTGCAGCCTACAGTATGTACGCCTTACGACCGAAAAAGAGTGCGCGTAGCAACCGCCGGTGCAGCGCTGCTCGAATGACAGCCTACCACGTCTCGCCCTGAAATGCATCTGTCCGCGTTTCGCCCCAGACCGCGGCGCGAAACGTCGCATTTGATCGCCTGTCGATTGCCATCAACATGCAGCGCGCCTGGTTCAGCGAGGATCAGTAATACGACAAGTGGAAGAGGTTTCAGCTATTCGCCATCGATGCAGCAGTTGCTTGTCATTCTGACAGCATCGGCACGCGGCAGTGCATGTTGGCAGTGCCAGGCTGCAGCGATCCCAGTGTGGCAACGCACGCTGACTTGTTGACCGACGTAGGCAGCGGCGTCCGGGTACTGCAGGATATCGCATGTATCAGGTCATCGTGAAGTTTGTGGGCGGCCTTGAGAAAACGTCCCTTCTCACGTGTGAGGTGGTGAAGTCAAGGTTACGCCCATGGCGCGGGGGCGTTCCTGTCGGGCGCCGCTAGCTAGATTCAGCCTAACTCGAACAGGGCTGCCCAACCCGGCGAACATCATCCGGATCGCGTAACCCCCGTTTCCGATTGACTATCATCAGCCCGCTGTCACTCTGCGGCGTCGACTGCCTCTTCCGCGACCTTCCACCCACCGCGCGAATCAAGATTTGCGACGCGGCTTCATCGATCTGCTCACGGCGTCTCGCCTCGCGCAGCCACCTGCTGCTCACGACCACCCATTTCACAATCGCAAAGCCCGCGGACATGAACCTTATGCATACCTCCGTCCTCTGCTTCGAAGCCCGGCGTCGGGCATCACTTTCCAAGGATTACTCACCAGGGACATACGACACGCTTGGATTGACAGCGGTAGCGTTGAAGCGGCGTGCATTACAGACAGCGGACTTCGGGAATAAGCTGCAAGTGTCATCGAGAGTACCATCCTTGTTCGCACATATTTGCGATTACCTCTAACATCAGGAAGTCGTGTCGCACACTCGCGAGTACATCAAAGTGTTAACAAGACGTTACGATACATTCGAGATGCTCGATGTTGGAGTTCTCAACAGATGCGGCTCAAGCGGCAGCTCCTGGTGAGGCCGCACAGATCTAGATCAGCCACATGGAACCGACCAAGAACACTTGGAACCACCCTCCCGGAAATTGACCCAGTTTCCAGCCTTCCGTGGGTTTTCACCGAGCTTCGCGATTACCAAGCGATCGAGTAGCATCACGTCAAACCTGCGTTATCCGAGTCAGGGTCCAGCCGCTGTGGAGACGGATCGTGGATCATCCATGGATTTCTCGCGTGTTGCCCGCCTTAAGGAAAATCCTTCACCGACACAGGCCATTCTCCTGTCCCTGCATGCATGGCGCTCGTATCGAGGTCTTGTTCCCAGTCTCGTCAACCCCTATGGAAAAGGACGCGCCGAAGGTTGGACAGAATAATAGCCGTCTCCCCGCATGGTGGGTTCACAGTTGGACCGATTCCTAGACTCCATTTCCACCGACAACTATGCCGCGAGAAGATCGATCAGGAGAGTTCACCGGTGTCTTGGGCTTCTTCATCTGTATATGCACCCTGCTAGTACTGCTTCGATGCTACTGCAAGCTGGTCCTCGTGAAGAACTTCGCGGCCGATGACTACTTCTCTGTTCTTACTCTGGCGGCCTTCTTGGTCTATTGTAGCTCCGCGCTGCTAGGTGTCCAAAATGGGACCGGGAAGCGACGATATCTCATCCCGGATGAAAAGTATCCCATCGGTATGAAGGTGTGTAATACCACGTCTACAGTATATTCCATGAGACTAACAACTCGAACCAGTGGTGGTGGACTTGCGAGCCCACATACGTTGTTACGAATATCTTCCTCAAGATGAGCATCGGCATCTTCCTGCTGCGCATCGCCCAGGATAGAACCCATCGCATGATTCTCTGGACCGCCCTCATCGCCATCCAAGTATACAGCGTGTACTTCTTCTTCGTCTTCACCTTCCAATGCTGGCCTGTCTCGTTCTTCTGGGAACAGTTCCGCGGCGGCAAAGGACATTGCATCCCCTCCAGGTTCGTTGTGAACTCGTTCTACGGCTACTCTGCACTGTCCTGTGTTACGGACTGGACATTCAGTATTGTCCCAATCTTCATCGTGCACAACTTGCAGATGGACAAGAGGAAGAAGATGACGGTGGTTGTTGTACTCGCCTGCTGCGCTATGTAAGCTCATTCCGCCTCTAGAGTCTTCCTTGCATCGTATGCTAACTCAACACAAGTGGTTCCACCGCAACAGTCGTCCGCATCCCATTCATAAACGGCCTCAACGATATACCCGACTTCCTATACACTACCACCGACGTCGCGATATGGTCTACCGTCGAAACCGGAATCGGCCTTGCGACCTCCGCCGCCGCGACTCTCCGCCCCTTGCTCCGCCAGGTGTTTGGTGAAATTTCGACGCATGATAGCGCCTCTCGCAAGCACTCGCGCATGTGGAATTCCGCCCACCCTTCACGATCAGGGTACCTGGAACAAGGAAGCCAGCAAGGCGGAAACGATATTCAGCTCAGCAATCATGATTCGAAACACCACACTGTGCACGTCACCAGCGGTAATGCGAGTCCAAGTGGGAGCACGATCGAGTTGAACATGGAATGGGAGCAGGATAAATATAATGCGACGGCTGATGCAGCTGCAGCGGGGCACAATGGCATTATGAGGACGGTGAAGATTACGCAGATGTAGAATGAGGTTAACTTGTAATGAAAGCTAGTGCGAACCACCGTTATCGACTCACCAACATAATCTCCCTCGCGGAAAGCCTTCAGATTCGAGCGCGGAGCCCAGAGCAAAGCTATTGCGCGAACGAGGGGTTCGCTTGGGCATTGACACTTTTCCACGCCCTATTGTCGTTTATGGAGATGAACACTCCAAATGACCAGCCGGATGCAGGACCAGACCGCAGTCTGACCTAAAGGCGCACTCTGTTCTTTCCTTCTTGCATCGTCAAGCTCACCCCTGTGGCGCAGAGGGCGGGCGCTAGTCGCGGCAGCCTAGCCTAAACGGTGCTAATCTTCGGCGGCTCCGCGCGAACATCGTACGGCTGCCACAATCTAGATCTCCTACATCCTCTCGACCAACATCACAAGAACCTCGAAAGAAAGCATAGGTTTTCTATTTCGGCTTTTAGCTTACCGCATCGAGTTCGCTCTCGCGACAGAGCTTTATCAACCCGCTTGTAGCTTCGCGTAGTGTAGCTCGACTCTTTTGGTTAAAGCGGACACCTTTACGACAGCGAGGCGATCACGAGCGCTATAAATATTATCGCTATAGCCTTTAATATAAAGTATCCCGCACTATCTCTTGTTATCTCTTCTGTCTAATATTGTCTAGTAGCTCTTTCTTTCGTTAACTTGTTACTTGTTTAGTCTTGTATTAACACTGTTTCTCTAATAATTATTAATACGTAATTTAGTATTATGCGATTAATCTTTCTTGCGCTTCTTACTACTCTTTCTATTATTAATACTGCTATAAGTAGTCTATGTATTTCTAAGACTAGGCGCTGCGAAAGTAGCTTTAACCTTACATGCAGTAGTTTCTCTTTTAGTAACTACTACTTAAAATATAACTACTATAGTAAGACTTCTACTTATTATAACTCTAGATATTAGTTAGGCTTTAGAAATTGTAAAACCTTACTTATTCTAATCTTAGTATCTACAAAGGTATTAAAGAATAGAACTTATAGCGAAAAGAGTACCTTTACGTACTTAAAGTCTATATTTAGAAACTATTACTTATAGTAAGTTAACTTTAGAAGATATAGTTACGTAGATAGCTTACTAATAATAATATACTTCTAGATATAGATATTATAGATTATCTAATGTATACTACAGCTTAGACTATAACTTTACTTTTAGTTTCTGCTTAGGCCTAGCTACTATAACTATAGTATAGACTTAGAGATTAGGTTTAGAAAAAAATCTAACTTTTTTATATCTTTTCTATATTAATAAACTAGATTTATAGCTTATATACTATATAAAAGTTATTAGAAAGATAAAGTAAATATTTACTTAGAAAAGTTAAATTAAAAAAAGTCTATACTTTTTACTAAGATATTTTATTAATCTAGGTTAATAAAAAGTCTTAGTATTTTTTTTATATTTTACTTCTCTAAGTAAATATTTACTTTATTTTTTTAATAACTTTTATATAGTATATAAGCTATAAATCTAGTTTACTTATATATTATTATAATATATTTAAAGTATAAGAGTATTACTTCTAGTATAAAAGATTTAAGTATAAAAGTTATTATCTAAGTTTTTTACAAAAGATTTAATTAACTACTACTTATTTCTAGTATACTAAAGCTTTACATTAGATATACTACTTAGTAATAGTACTACTATTAAGTAAGTAATATAGTAGAGATTACTTATTTTCTACTAATACTTATCTATCTATAGAAAGAAGTTATTTATAATTCTTTCTTTTTCTATACTATTATATAACTTACTTTAATATATTAGCTAGAATAATATTATATTATAATACTACTTTATATAACTAATATATATTATAGTCTCTTCTATAAAACTATATAACTATAGTATACTACTATAATATTCTATTCTACTTTTAAATAGAAGATATTACTATATTTTATCTTACTACTATACTATAGAACTATTTAATACTATAGTAAAATACTAACTTATAACTCTACTATCTAAAATTACT